AGAGAGAGGTAGTTGCCTAAATAGGTTGTCTTACAGTCTGTGTATATGTTTAAAACATGAGGAATAATAGTTGTCAAGTTTAGAGAGAACAAAATCCTTAACCTTTGGCCTGTTAGCCTTTTATATAACCAATAGTTTGATCAAACTGCATGGAAATGAAGATAGGATAGTCCATTTCCTTGTTGCCAACGATTTTTACATTAATTTGAGAGGCAAAGATCTTTGTTGACAATAGAACACTATTTGATAATGTTTGTGAGGTCATGATTGGCATCAATTAAATAAGAATAATCCGAAAAACATTTCTTTATTAAATGAATGTATTTTTTATCCTATGAGTGTATTTTTTGTTAAGCATCATGAGACGTCCGTTGGTTTTGTCCGAGGTGTGACGCTTGTTAAAATTTAGGAGGTTTATAATAACATATGTCAATAAAAGTATATCAACTATCAATAATATATGTTCAAAATGGGTAAATCATAGACAATTGGAAAAAAAAAAATAAATAAATAAAAAGTGAAATAGAGGCCTTCTTCAAAGTGAGAGGATCGAGATTACTTAGGTATCACAAGGAAAAGCTTTAGCTAGTTAGTTGATTGATTAGTATAATTATTCTTAGTCCATCATTTTTTTGGACTTGGTCAAAAGGATAACAACTGTGTTAAATTGCGAAGTGTCTCTTGGAATTGAATAGGATCGGTCAAACATCCTTATTTGAGGCCAATTCAGTTTGTGACTCTTTTGAAGCCTTGAGCTGAGAGCAATGTTTCTCTTACTGGCCCCACCACATCACGGTAATTATTAAAATGATCATTACATGGAGCATTAAAAATACCAAGTTTTAAGCAACTTTCCTAACTGTCAAACTGCAATCTACCATTGTCATAACTCATAATAATAAGAGATCTCTCTACTTCTAGTGGAATTCTCCGAACCTCATTGTGCTGCCATCTTTTTCTTTTTCTTTTTCCTTTTTTCTTACTATTGATAAGGTAGTGTGAGGTTAGGGCGTCTTTCGCCCTCAGAAAATAGGGATAGGGAAAATTTTGTTGCATTGACATGAATGCTTTTTTATATTTGTAAAGTCGGACAAAATATATATATTGAAATATGGAATAGTCTTGACTCATAGTTTCGGTTGGTCACAAATATTATATAACGATCACGTACGGTTACATTGCATGCTTACTTAAATTCAATTACGTGTAAATTTATTAAAATTAAATAAATACTTAACATACTAAAGTTAGCATTTATATAAATCAATTAACTAATCTAAAGTTATTAATAATATATGAAGATACAACGGTCAATTAAGAAAATTGATAATAATTTGCAAACATTTTTTTTTTTGAAAAATAATTATCCTAAATAGGAGGATACCGCAAACTAATTTCTCTGGCCTTTATTTCAGTGGATCGCCTTCATGTATATATTAATACAGGATCACAAGCATGCACGTATTAATGTTATGTGCCTATGTGCACTATGTTTTTATTGATGCTTTGCGTGTATAAAGTATAAGCTACGTACAATTGTATGCTGTTTTCTTCATCACTATTAATTATGTGTTGTTTAAAAGGTTCATAAATTGTTCTTTTGGCTTACAAGGCAATGATTTTTGTTAAACGAATTCAAGTATCATTTGTGTGGACGAATTTGGAATAACTCGAGTTTTCTTTATTTTTTAGGGAAAAAAATTCCTTCGTTTTCTTTATTTTTCTCTCAAACATACGGTGGTGACTTCCCTTTTTGTAGAATTTCTTTTCCAAACCCCCTTGCAAAAGAAAAGCCCCACCGAACGCTTCGAAAGACACGTTAACTGGCCAGGTGCTCACAAAGTTGAAATTCTTAAAAAATATATGTTTAATAGTTTTAATTTTTTGAAAGATAAAGAAACTTACTGCATATATTTTTGAACATTTTATAGTCTTCTTCTTGTTTTTTTTTTTTTTGGTTTTTTAAAAAGACAATACTCTGTAATTCGCGAATAAACAATGGAATGATATTCTTTACACAAGTAGTGATTTTTTACAACAAAAAAAAAGTAAAAAATATTGCATTCTATTTCTTAAATAAAAAATATAAAGGAACATATATAAAAATAGAAGATCACCCTATGTGAATATACTTAAATGTAAAAAAGCAACAGTGGAACCAAAACAACCATAAAGCTGAAGTTTAAACGTTAAGATAAGAGAAGTTGAGCTGAGAAAAGGGTTGTAGGGGATGAACAGTTAGCGAGAAAGAGGGTCAGGCCAGCTTCAGCTTGCACATCGAAAGGATAAGGAAAAGAAAGAGAAAGAGACCAAAAATGGAGGCATCATCACCTCCTATGGCAGTATGCCATTTAACCCACCAGGCCTCATTGATGTTGTTCCTTTTGTGGGCCTATCTATTTCCCTTTTCTTTTTTATTCTCTCCCACAAATGTATTTTAATTTTCAGTGGGTAACATCACATTCACAAACAGATGCATCTAAAAACTGTATCATTGATTCCTTCCCCATATTTCAGCATTTGGGACCCCCACTATAACGTGATCTCCTTTATAAATTCTGCCATTGACTTTAACTTAGAGTAATTATCTTTGTTCATCTTTTATAAAGAAAATCTGAGGAAATTCCGAAGAGGGTCAAGAAGTATTGTAGCCCGTATTGGGTAGGACGGAGAACCACACAAATTTAAATCCAACAAAAAGGTGAATATTATGTGATTTCTCAGGAAAAAAACAGAGCAAGCAAATCACCCTAGCATATTATCTTTTGTAATACAAGGCTATATATATATATATATATATATATACACACACACACCATTTGTTTTACAATAGCTTCCTAGGCAGTGAATGGTAATTTTTCCTTTTTTAAAACCTCAAATGATTGTAAGATAATTGATATCATTCAATATACTAAAATTGTATTTTTCTTTTTCATGAAATAAAGGGATTTATGAATTATTTTTATATTGAATTTCATGTTTTTGTAAAAAAAAAAAAATTTAAAAAAAAAGGAATTCAGAATATACCTAATAAATAAATGTATTAATATTCCATAATTTATTGACACTTCAATACCGGCCGTATCTCTCTATAGGAATTGTCATGAATTAAGGTATACCATCTCGTCTGAATTCATAGATTAATTGTGGGGGTATCTTAAATTAAAAGTGACAATATAGAATGAGAATTGAAAATAATAGATGCGATAAAAGAATACATTTAGTCATCTTAAACAAGACTGCGAAAAATAATTTTTTAAAAAATACATTAATTTAATGTGGTGAATAATTTATCTAATTGAAAAAATGATTTAGTTTTGATAATAGAATGATTTCAATCAAACCTTGCCCCCTAACTTTACCCTATACATCATAACATGGAAGCTGGTTCGAGCTGCCAATAAATAAATAAATAATAGAAAATTATTTATCCTTCAAAATCTCTCAAGTTAATTAGTTTTCTTTTAGGAAAAACGAAATCTTAACATAATAAGGGTTAATATTCTATCTAGTTTTGCTGTATAATTGTTGAAGACTAAATATTTATAAAATAACATACTTGAATTGTTAGTATCATAAATAATCTAGCTCATCTTGTATTAGGCTTTAAATGTATTCAATGAATAAGATATTAAAAAAGAAAAATCAAAGAATTTTATTTATTTTAATGGTCAGGTATTTTTAGAAAATTTTTGTACACTAAATTATAGTTTATCTGAATCGGGATTTAAGCATAACATTCAAATTAAAATTAGTATATTCATGATATTTTTTTCAAAAAAAAAAAAATAAATCTTAAATAATCCATGATAAATAAACATTCTAGCCATCCATGCTAAGTATGTAATGAAAAGAAAAATCTTATTATGAATTCAACAATGGCAGTGCAATGAAAAACTCAAAGTTGGAATTGAAATGTGAATAAGAAAAAACTTTTGCTCATCAAACCCTAAAAAAATTATGACATTCGGAATGAAATATCTAGATTGAATCCAATTATAGTATGCTGTCAAAGTAAATTCAAGCTTAAAGTTCACATCAATGTGCAACTGGAAATCCATAATTATTAGTACGTAGCCATCCTTACTCTGCACTAGAAGTCTAGCGGCAAAGAAAAAAAAATTAAATAAAAAAGCAAGAAAGAAAATCATTTTAAATATGATAAACAATGATAGTAGTTGACATGGGAACCTGCATTTCTACAATATCTGTAAAGGCACCTTACTCCCTCTGTGTATCTACCAACCTCTTGTCAATATCATCACATCTATCTAGTAGGAAACATTCTCCCACGCCTCACTGACAGACAGTGATCTTGGATCGAACACATTCTACCATCTTTTTTTTTTTTCCCTCTCTCTCTCTCTGTCTCACAACAAAAAGCAGCCGATCTTATATAGTCCTTGTCTGCGGGTTTTGACCAAAAATCAAATCAACTCTCCCACCACAATTTCTCTCCCAATCTCTGTGGATGATCAGTTTCTAGGAGTCAAGAAAACAATGAACCGTATAAATACAAATATACTCTGCCAAAATCGATCTTGTAATTCCATTCTTTTCTTTGATTTTCTTAGGATAATGGATATCTCATGACAATTAAATCTATCTTTTCAATCCGGTTAAAAGTAAATTATTTATATTATGAAAGTTTATTTTACTTCTCACAATCTGACATAATTTGGGTTTAAAACAACGGTAGCCAAGAATAGAATACACCCTATTGACAAGAAGGCAATCCAGTCAACCCAGTGAGGTTCTTCTTTTCTTATTCCCTCCCCACGTTCCCTCCTTTCCATTTTATGAAAGAAAAAACCATAATAAAAAAGCAACTGCTTTCCTTAAAGCTTTCCCTCTCTTTGCGACAACAACAATATCTCATCATATTCACCACTTTCAATCCCGTCTCTCTCTTTTCTCTACACTACACAACACTACCCCCCCCCCCCCCCCTCTCTCTCTCTCTCTCTCAACTGTTTTTTTCTGCAAATCTTGTTTCTCCAATGGAGAGCAACCCAGTTCAGCTTTTCCATCATCTTGCACTTACACTTCTTCTCTTCCTGTTTTCTGTTTCGATTTCTGTGACCGAGCAAGGCCTCGTTCCATCAATAAGGACGGATGCTGCGGCCCTTCTTTCGTTCAAGAAAGTGATTCAAAAGGACCCAAATGGAGTTTTAACAGGATGGCAGATTAATCGAAGTCCATGCATCTGGTATGGTGTTTCTTGCAATACTCTTGGAAGAGTCACTCATCTTGATCTTACAGGATGTTCTCTTGCTGGAACTATCTCTTTCGATCTTTTGTCTTCTCTTGATATGTTATCTGCTTTGAATTTATCTTTCAATTTGTTTACTGTAAATTCCACTTCTTTGCTTCACCTCCCAGTTGCACTACAACAACTTCAATTGTCTTCTACTGGGCTTGAAGGTCCGGTTCCTGAGAAATTTTTCTCCAAGAACCCAAATCTTATTTACGTAAACCTTTCTCATAATAATTTATCAGAGTTATTGCCAGATGATCTTTTATTGAACTCTGATAAAGTTCAGGCGCTTGACCTTTCTTATAACAATTTTACTGGGTCCATTTCAAGCCTGAAAATCGAGAATTCCTGCAACTCTTTGTCGCAACTTGATCTATCTGGAAACCATTTAATAGATTTCATTCCTCCTTCCCTTTCAAACTGTACAAATCTCAAAACTTTGAATCTTTCGTTCAATATGCTCACTGGAGAGATCCCAAAGTCTTTTGGTGAGCTGAGCAGTTTACAGAGATTGGATCTCTCTCACAATCATATTACTGGTTGGATTCCTTCTGAGTTGGGAAATGCATGTAATTCACTTTTAGAACTTAAGCTTTCCTATAACAATATTTCAGGTTCGATTCCTGTCTCTTTTTCCCCTTGTTCTTGGCTGCAAACTCTTGATTTGTCTAATAACAACATAACAGGGCTCTTTCCAGACTCTATCCTTCAAAATCTTGGTTCATTGGAAAGATTGCTGTTAAGTTATAACCTAATTTCTGGATCATTTCCGGCTTCCATTTCATACTGCAAAAGTTTAAAAATTGTGGACCTCAGTTCCAACAGATTTTCTGGTACCATCCCACCAGATATATGCCCCGGTGCAGCCTCTCTTGAGGAGCTGAGATTGCCGGATAATCTCATTATAGGAGAAATCCCAGCACAATTATCACAATGTTCCAAGCTGAAGACACTTGATTTCAGCATAAACTTCCTCAATGGCTCGATCCCAGCTGAGCTTGGAAAGCTGGAGAATTTGGAGCAGCTGATAGCATGGTATAATAGCTTGGAAGGGAAAATTCCACCGGAATTGGGCAAATGCAGGAACCTGAAGGATCTTATTCTCAATAACAACAACCTAAGCGGTGTAATTCCTGTTGAATTATTCAGTTGCAGTAATCTTGAATGGATATCTCTCACAAGCAATCAGTTCACAGGCAAAATCCCTCGGGAATTCGGCCTTCTGTCAAGGTTAGCAGTCTTGCAGCTTGCTAACAACAGCTTGAGTGGAGGGATACCGACAGAGCTAGGAAATTGCAGCAGCTTGGTTTGGTTAGACTTGAACAGCAACAAGCTCACTGGTGAAATCCCACCTCGACTTGGCCGGCAACTGGGGGCAAAAGCATTGAGTGGAATTCTGTCCGGAAACACTTTAGTGTTTGTTCGGAACGTGGGGAATTCATGCAAAGGAGTTGGAGGTTTGCTGGAATTTGCTGGTATCAAAGCCGAAAGACTTTTGCAGGTCCCAACATTGAAGACTTGTGATTTCACAAGATTGTATTCAGGAGCCGTCTTGAGCCTTTTTACACAATACCAAACACTGGAGTATCTGGATCTCTCTTACAATGAGCTCCGAGGGAAAATTCCAGACGAAATTGGGGATATGATGGCCCTGCAAGTTCTTGAATTAGCGCATAACCAGCTATCTGGTGAGATTCCCGCATCACTTGGCCAGCTCAAGAATTTGGGTGTGTTCGATGCTTCACATAACAGATTGCAGGGTCAAATCCCAGATTCATTCTCAAACCTATCTTTTCTGGTGCAAATTGATCTCTCAAATAATGAATTAACAGGGGAAATTCCACAAAGGGGGCAACTCAGTACACTTCCAGCAAGCCAGTACGCAAACAATCCAGGACTTTGCGGGGTTCCATTGACTCCATGCGGGAGTGGAAATAGTCACGCAGCATCTAATCCAACCTCAGATGTTGGCAGAGGAGGTAGAAAGACTGCAGCTGCATCTTGGGCTAACAGCGTTGTCTTAGGGATCCTCATCTCCATCGCTTCCCTCTGCATTTTGATTGTGTGGGCAATAGCAATGCGTGTGAGGCATAAGGAAGCAGAGGAAGTCAAGATGCTTAAAAGTTTGCAAGCATCCCATGCAGCCACAACATGGAAGATTGATAAAGAGAAAGAGCCATTAAGCATCAATGTAGCTACATTTCAGAGGCAGCTGAGGAAGCTAAAGTTTTCTCAGCTCATTGAGGCCACCAATGGCTTCTCTGCAGCAAGTCTAATTGGGTGTGGTGGGTTCGGAGAAGTGTTTAAGGCCACATTGAAGGATGGTTCTAGTGTTGCAATCAAGAAGCTGATAAGATTAAGCTGCCAGGGAGACCGAGAGTTCATGGCCGAAATGGAAACTCTAGGGAAGATAAAGCATAGGAACCTTGTCCCTCTGCTGGGGTATTGCAAAATTGGTGAGGAGAGACTACTTGTGTATGAATTCATGGAGTTTGGAAGTCTCGAGGAAATGCTCCATGGAAGAGGAAGAGCACGTGACAGACGGATTCTAACTTGGGATGAAAGGAAAAAGATCGCCAGAGGTGCAGCCAAGGGACTTTGTTTCCTACACCACAACTGCATCCCACACATTATTCACCGAGACATGAAGTCAAGCAATGTTCTGTTGGACCACGAAATGGAAGCAAGAGTTTCAGATTTTGGAATGGCAAGGCTCATAAGTGCACTTGATACTCATCTTAGTGTAAGCACACTCGCAGGAACGCCAGGGTATGTGCCGCCTGAGTACTACCAAAGCTTTCGGTGCACTGCAAAAGGAGATGTCTATTCTTTTGGTGTTGTATTACTGGAACTCCTAACAGGTAAACGCCCCACCGATAAAGATGATTTTGGAGACACTAACTTGGTGGGTTGGGTGAAAATGAAGGTAAGAGAAGGCAAACAAATGGAAGTGATTGACGCAGAATTGCTCTCTGTGACGAAAGGAACTGATGAAGCTGAGGCAGAAGAAGTTAAAGAAATGGTGAGGTATTTGGAAATATCATTGCAGTGTGTTGATGATTTCCCTTCCAAGAGGCCTAGCATGTTGCAAGTGGTGGCCTTGTTGAGAGAGCTGATGCCTGGATCAGCCAGTGGAAGCAGCAACAGCGGTTGAACAAAATGTATTGTTTGTGGATCATATAGTGTAAGAAGATAAGGTTTTCAATATCTTATGCTAAGGTTTTAAGAAATTTTCTTGTATCTAATTTGCAAAATGTTTTAATTTTGCTTTGTTGATTAGTGTCTAACAGAAATCATGATCATAATTATGGTTTCTTCCTCATGAAGAGAGCTTGATAAACTGGGATCTGCTAACCAGGGTTCATAATCCTTTCTGCATTCATTACTTTACTTTCCTCGTTCCCAGTTCTCAAGATCATTAACCAACGACATGGCAGTCCCACCCTACACTTGCAAGCACCATGAAGAATTGCACTATTCCAAGATTCTCTAGTTGACATTGAAAGATCTTGAGAGCTGGAAGCTTTCAGCACGCAAGGACAAATTGGGTTAGCCATCCTCATCTATATTTTGCCGTTCTCCCATGTTCTGATGTAGTGAATTTCAAACAATGCAATTATGCCGTTTTGATGGAATGATAATGATCACAGTACCCCGTCACAGCCAATAATTTGGTCAATTTCAAAAACAACAAATGCAATTATTTAGTCAATTATGCAATGTGGAAATCTGTCAAACTAATAACTTGATCTCTTGATCTCATTCGACCACAATAACTTTAACTCAAAGCCATCAGAACAGAGAATCAAGGAACCAATCAAAAGGAGGGAAATGGGAATGGTTTACAATGTATTGTCATATCCGCCGGCAAAAGAAGCCAAAAATTAGGTTGAGAAACCAACTTATGTAGTGTCATATTCACCGCTAAAGTTTCTTTGTAACCCCAAGCGATGGAGAAATAAAAGAAGAGAGAGGGGAGAAGTGAATCCGGACTTTGCTTGAAAGCCATAGGGATGGCAATGGGGTTGGGCGGAGCGGGGCAGGGATAGCCATCCCCATCCCTATCCCACTCCAAAAAATTTCATCTCATCCTTCTCTGTATCTCGTCCGGAATGAAATTTTAAATATCATCCCCATTCTTGTCTCGTCTCAAAAAATTTTGCTTCATTCTCGTCTCGTGACCCATTTGAAGTGAAATTTTGCGTATCATCCCCATCCTAAATAAGATAGGATGGGACTCTAACAGAACGGAACAAATTATCATCATTAGAAAGTCATCCATAAAACTTAATTTTAACGTAGTTTTTTTGACAACTACTAAAAGATTAACTTAGTATTTGTATCGTTTACGGAAGAATAGATTATCAAAGAATTGAATAGGAGAAGCGAGGGTTACATTTTTAAACTTATTGTTGAATACATATAGATTAATCACACGTTAAGACTCAATACCATGATTAATTAAGTACCCATAACCGTTCTCCATCTAATCTCTTTTAAAAAAAACATGAATCCTCCATTTCTAACGAAGTTACTATTTCTCTTGTTTTCACGATAGGGACAACATAATATTCCAATAAAAATCAAACAATAAATAGCTAGCATTAGCTAATATATGCCTTCATATCATACTTAAAAAATTTCAAACAAAATGTGTCAACCAGCCCAGGCTTCCAATGCCTTACCAATAACAGCTTTAGTGATGAGAGTGTTTACGTTGATTTTGCTCTTAGCATCTCTCATTGTTCTTGCAAAGGACACTGCCACATTTAAAAACCTTGCATCTCGATCAGAAGTCACTCTTCGCTTCAAGCATATCTATGCCTACCGGTAAGCGAAGATTACCTCTATACATCCTCTAATATATATACGGCCTTCTCTTGCAATTGGGTTTTAAATTTTTGATCATATGGATATTTTATGCTTTGCAGTTACATGCTCTCTGCAAATGTGGCATACACATTTTTGCAAATACCTTTTGCAATCCACCATGTAAGCGTAGGGAAACGCGTGATTAACAATGTTAGCCTGCTGTACTTCGACTTCTTCGGCGAAAAGGTTTGTGCTTATTTGCATGTTTGTACCAATTTGATAGTGCCGATATAAATTTAAAGAGATGAAAGAAAATAATAGACCTAATGGTTAAATCGATTGACCTTTTGGAGTTCTGATACTTGTCCTGCCGGCCCGAATGGATGAAATATATATATATTGTTTCCAATTTTGTGCATGTGAGCATTCTAATATTAATATTTTATTTGATCTAATATAGAGTAGATTTATGGTACCTTAAATTATTCAAGCTAAATGAATTATTCAAATTTTACTAGAAGATTTTTCACTGTATATTTTTTTTATTATTTTAATAGTTACAAACTGTATAAAAATAAAAAAATTCTTTAGGAAATTAGAAGGTTTTCCGTATATATCCTTGAAGAGTGTTACTATGAATACCAAATAGTTGATCTTGTTAAAATGTAATATAAAATTATTTTTAAAGTCTTATATGATCATTTAAACCTTATTAACTTAACGAGTTAAAAATTCAAATTTTATCGTCTCACTTTTTCTTCTAATTATATCAAAACAAATATAAAATAATGTGACTTTGTATAAATTTTAAATTTAAAAATTTTTTAAAGTGTATTAAAAAGAGTAATATAAAATAATTTTTAAAACTTTATCTAACAATTTAACAACTATTTAATAGTTCTAATAGCGAGGCACGGTCGAAAGAAAATCATGGATAAGAAGTCCTAAATATATATATATATATATATAATTTGAACATGACATTTTTCATGAAAATTTCTAGTTTTAATCTTTGGAATATCTTTTGACACCATGAAAAAAATGTTTTTTTAATAAAAATATCTTTGATTTAATTTGAATATTAATCGAGACTAAGTCTCTTTGACAACAATTTAAAGAATGTACTTTTCATATTAGTTTAGTATATTTTGACAAATTATTATGCTTGTTTGGCTCTAAAATTTAAGCCCGCAACGTATAATAATTATATTAAAAAAAATCCTTAACTACCCCACTATTCTTTTTGAATTAAAAGATATTGTTAATATTTGATTTCAAATATGACTTTCATCCACTGTGTATAAATATAAGTTTTAACCATTATATTTTCTTTCATCTTCTTTTAATTTTTAAGATGGCTTTTGTTGCATCCTAAAGGTAATTTCCCATCAAAATCTAGCTGCAACAGCTTTCTTTTACATTTTTTATGTGTTGTGTCCGGAATTCGAACAGGTCATACTATCCTTATTGGCAACTGGGGTTGGGGCAGGGTTGGGTGCAACCAATGATCTTAAGGAAAACCTCGATCAATTGGACGTGTTCACTACACGAATTGGTTACCCGATTCTTTCTGAAATTCGATCAAAGGGAGACAACTTCTTTAACATGGGATTTGTCTCTGCAAGCCTTCTTCTCATGGGTTTCCTTTGCACTGTAGTCTCTTCAATCATATCGTCATTGGCCCTCTCCAAGAAAGAGTAGAAGAAAAGCAGAGGAGAGGAGACTCAAAGCCTTGCTAATTTGGTAGACCTGTGTAATGGGTTGTGTGGCTCTAAGCTAGGTTAATGTTAAGCTCAGTTTTCATTTTAATAGACCCAAGTTCAAACTGCTATTCCATTCTAATCATTTTGTGTTTCCTTTCTTTTTGGTTTCTTTTCTGGAGTAAGTCTGGTCTAGCCCAAAAAATCAATAGGCCCAAACTCAGCTCTTTTTGTCTGATGTGTTTGTCTGTTAGCTCCGAAGTGCAAACATGATGACCCACATTGTAAGAAATCATTAGAGTAGATTATAAACTACTCCTTATTGTTTCATAAAACAAATAACTTAATCACTCTAGTTTCAAAAATAACTGATTAATCTTTTGACAGCATCTCACCATCAAATCAGGAACAAAATTACCTGAAATTTTGGTGCAAATTCACCATTGTTTTGATGAAAGTATATAGAGGGACTTTATAAGTTATTACAGATACGAAGGGATAGGGATCGATTAATTTTTTTGAAACTAGAGGGACTGGATTGTTTATTTATTAAGAATATAAGGATTGAGATATAATTTACTTAACACTGTAAAACTCGCCCAGCTTTTGGCAGGTACCACTTACCAGTACCGCCGGTCTAAACAGCGTAATAGGAAAGCCGACGCCATAGCCGCCTTAGCTAGAAATTGTGAAGATATTTTCCTACACAACATTTCATTTTTCTATTTTTGATGTTCTATTTTTTGCTAGTAAAAACCAGGTTCTCAATATTCCCATCATTACATTTGAGAAGGAAAGCCAGAGGGGATGAGGATATTTTGTCCATTTCTATATGCGTCCATGGCTGTACCTTTCTCAAGGTAGGGTAGTCCCTTTCCACCTCTTCTTGCTGTTGATGAGGGAGAGATTTTCCATGCTATCAATGAAGATTAGGACATACATAGAGACACAGTTACTTTTATCCCTAACTTTCATAGGGTATCTTACTATACTACAACTACCTACTATACTCCTAGCTAGTACTATCTTGTTCTTATTATTTATATTCATAACAGTATAATTGAGGACATCGAGTTTCTGTTAATTTGATCTATATTATAAGATCAAACTGGTTAATTTATTTTGGACACCCTTTTTTTAATCTATTTGTTAAATATAAAATGCTAGGTTATCATACATTTTTTTATAAGTATTATATTGAAATTAATCGATATGTAATTTTTTGATGTTAGTATTCCAATATTTAACAAAGCTCTAACTTTCTTTATCCTAGAAACCTAGACATGAAAAAAACAAAAAAACAAAACAAAAGCGAAAGCAAATTAGAACAACGAAACTATCAATTTAGTGTTACGGACGTTTTTCGCACTTGCTCGAATTGTAGTACGTCGTGATAAACGACTCAAGCGCTAATGTAGGTTCGTTTACAAAATTTATTTTTATATCTTAATTAGATAATCATTTTCACGTGTTGTGTGGATAACGCTAAAATACTTAACTTATACACCATAAAAAAATTTAAATATCAATTTAAAGATAAATTTTATAATATTTAAGAGTAATTAATGATATATATAATAATCATTTTATGATTTTATTTTGATGAAAGAGATAGATAAAAAAAAAGAGAGAGAGAGAAATTATTTTCAGATCCACAAAAAGTGATAAAAAAATTTAAGTATTATAAAATTTCTCCAATTTAAGGTTCATCTTAGTAAACATTAAAAGAGCATGCTATTTATTAAAAAAAAAGTATTTAAAGAGAAAGGTATTTAATTTAAACCATCAATTATAAAATTTAATAATTCTATAACTGATTCTTTGCCTATAATGTGATTTAGATACAATCTTATAACTGATTTCTTACCTATAATGTGATTAAGATGAAAACAGTTAGTTTTTAAAAAATTATTATTTATTAATAATACGTACAAGAACACCAAGCCTGTCAAAAATATAATATTAACAAAAATTTATTTTTCTAGGTTTTGTTTAGAAATACAATAATATTCAGGGTATAGACTTGTAAACTTTTCGAGTTGTTTTAATAAATTTCTTTCATATACAACAAAAAAAAAAGATCCTGCAGCCTTAATGTTGTACTTTGTTCAACAATTCTAGCCTCAAGTTAAAGATATACTTCTTATCCAATTTATACTAGAATTCATAAATGTTAAAACAACATTTATTCAAACTAGAAAATAAATGTAATGATTGATTAAAAACACTATTTGAATTAGAAATGAGTCGATATGAATTCTCAAAAAGAAAAAAATGCAATAAATTGAGTATTAAATAAAATGTATCAAGAAAAAGAGAGATTAAAAAAAAAAAAAAAAGAAAGAAAGACAGTGTACATTGTATTAAGGAAACATGAGTAATTAATGCGCATAATATATATAGTGACTAGTTTGTATTATCAAAAAAAATTCTCTCGGTATTAAATTTTGATTAGTTTTGATATAGGATTTTGTGCTTGAGCATAATAATTGTGCAACTAATTTGATTTTTAATCAAATACTAATTTGTTCTAACTTTGATGACATTAGCATCATTACAGTAGTTTGTGTTTAATTAAAAAGTACACTTGTGCAATTAATTTGATTTATAAGCAAATATTAATATTAATAATGCACCGTAGTTTGAAAAATATTCATTATCAAATATTTATTGTTGATAAGTTTCAATTTTTTATCTTCTGTTTTTTTTTAAAAAGTTTCATTTTATCTCTAAGTGATTTTTCTATATATGTTTTTAATATTTTATTTTATTAAATTAAAATTCAATCCAAAAATAATCATTTCAATTTACATGCTACATTCCTAATCTTTCAAAAGATAAATTAGATGATAATAAAAAGAGAAAATAGCATCATCAACTGTAATTCAACTAATATTAATGTTCTCCTTTTCAGCAAAATGTTTTGGAATTCAAATATGTTCTATGTAGAAAAGAAAAAAGAAATAGCCGTCAGAAACCAAGCCCTAAAACTGATCCAAAATAACGAAAGTGCCACCAATGGTTATCGTGTGGACAAAACATGGAAGGTGCATTAAAAGGTTGGGAAAGAGGGGCACGTGGTCCCAATAAAGAAAGAAAAAAGCAACGAAAGCAATGGAAATCCTTTAGCCCTTTAATTTGGTGCATCTTTGGCTCCGTATCTCGCTTTTGTTTCGGCTTAAACTACGAAAGAAAACATCCACACATGGTACCCTTAATATTTTTATTAACTACTCAATTAGCCACTGCAAATTAGGTCTTTACTAGGAGTCATGCATTCATTGCATTGGCCTTTAATATTAAATGCAAAAGGATTCTGTGCCCTCTTGTGCTGAATAAATCTGCAACCTCTCTTGATACTGATAAAGTGAGTCTATATGTGTGTGTGTGTGTTTTTGAGAGAGAGAGAGAGATATTTGAGTTTTGTGGGTTGTTTATCCTTGAGAGGGACGAGTGCCTGTCGATAACCATTTCAACTGTGGCACTGAAAAACATGGTGTTTTAATAAGCATTTAAAGGGGACACAAATGCAATGAAAATGACATTCCCTTTCCTTCTCACTCTTAAAAGACTCTTTTCTTCTCTCTCATTTTTTCTTATGCTACATTGAATTTTGGTTGAAAAATGGGTCAGCAATGCCTTTGAATGGTTCTTCCTATTTTATATATATGTACTAGCGTAATGGTCCCAAGAAATCTAAACGCCCCAAGCTTAGCTAGAGGCATACTACTGATAATCCATATGTCATGCATAATTACATATTAAGAAAGGGTCATGCAGACAGTTCGGCATGCATGCTTTAGTTTACCAACCTTGAAAGCAGTACATGAATTGTAGATCCATGTATGCAATTTTTAAGTCGGCTTCCTCTATCTCTGATCATGATTACACTTTTTGTTGAAGACCATTTTATTCTCTAAATATTTAGTCCGAATCCATATTTAAAACATATTCAAACCAACGATCACATGACAAACTACTTATTAGCTAGGAAAATGAAAAGAATAATTCAAGGAGGTACATTTTGCATAGAAGCTATCATATTATTCATGATCATGCCTTTGGAGATAATCTACATCTTCATTAATTGGTAATAAATGTGAAAGGAAATGAGCATTATAAAAAAAAAAAAAAAAAATTGAAGCATTTCTATCCTATAATTAAGAAGCTACAAGTTCATCAAGTGAGGCATTCACGAGACGTCCTGTCGTAGTACCATGTTATGATTGAGCTCTGTAGTCTCTGTAAGAATCATTTTCTGCCTTGGAGTGTCCTTGTAAATATTGCACTGCATATATATGGACTATTGTATAAGGAAAACTCATAACTCTAGCTCGACAATAACTGAAACCTCATAATGGTGTCTGGCTAGCTTTTTTTTTTTTTCAAACAAATGAAGATATTTATATTAAAATCAGTACAAATGAATTTTACACCATCCAATTTAGTTAACACAATGGTCAAAATACCAAGTTTGATATAGCCAGAAAATTCCTTTTTTTTTTTTTTTCCGGTCACAAGTTACAACAGAGAATTTAAATGAACAAATATAAAAACAAAATAAATTGCATAAGGTTTTGGATACTACTCTCCATCGCCTTCAGTAGTTGCTGAGGACATGTAACTCGTAGCAAGAGAGGTCTCGTCTGCAGGTGCAGCAACCGTAGATGCTTGGAATTGTTGCTTGCAAGCTTGGCAGGTGACTTGCATAATGGTAGAACTAATCTTCTTTGTAGCTTGCTCTCTCAAAACCTGAGCCTTTTCGAGTTCAGCTTGAGCTTGTTGCCTTATCCTCTTTGCATTTGCAAATTCCAGTTCAGCAATCTCAATTTGCCTCTTTGCTTGTTGTCTGGCCTCCTCAGCATAGGCCTTTTCAGTCATAGCCAACCTCAACTGTTCATTTGCAGACTCTTTTAACTTTGCTGTTTCGAGTGTAGGCTCATCAGAAGTACTTTTATGCCCAGTTGGATCCACACTGGCCTTGTTTGATTCATTCTTGTCGCAACTATCACTCGACCCTATTGAAAGCTTCAAATTTGTGGCATCACGCTCATCAGGATTTTTTGGCAAGTGATTGCTTGAAGATGGTAAGAGCTGAAGTTCAAGATTGTGTTCTTGCTGACTAGAAGTAGATGCATCATTTCTATCCGAGTACAAGTAAACTGGTTCGGTTGCCTTTGACATTGGTATCCCTGGCAACGGAGCTATGCTAAAATTGGCATCACTTGAAGGGCTGGTGCTTGAGGCAGTTCTAGACGAGCAGGCCGGCTGTAATGCCTGTAATTCAGGCTGGGCTCGCCTTATTGTGCAAGCATCTTGGTGCTCAATGAAACTCTCCACCCTAAAAAGACAAGAAATTAGAATGATTCAAAGTGATTGTTAAATTTAATGGTTGGATTATTCTTTGTTGTCTTTTAATAACCAAAGTTGGCAATTACAGCTAAGTTAAGTAGACATAATTCAGGTTTCTACGTGTAGGGATGCTGAGAAACAAGCATTATAAAATTGATTTAAGGACCTGTACAATTGACCACATATATGACCAGCTAGGTTTGATATATTAAAATAAATAAAGCCAATACGGGATGGGGTATAGGTGTGCAAAATGAGTGCACAGATTGTTTGTGTTGTAAGTAATTGGGTTTTACTTATATTTAGCCAATGGAAACAGTTTTGGGGAACAGTGATGCAGTCACTGCTCCTTGAACTTGCATTGGTTGGCCTAGATAGCTTACATAGGTAAACATGAAGTCATGCACTACTGGAATGGAAATCATTCTCGGATTTAGTACATCCCTGTATAAATTTATTTAGAAAAATAATTTTTTAAAAAAAAAAAAACAGGCTTGAATTTCTTTTGTGGGATCACTATCATAAAACCAAAAATAATATGAAAATCCTGGAAAGGGAAAGGATGCCCTTTTATGCTTATGGGGGGTTTTTTTAGGGTTGAATTATGAACAAAAAAGAAGAGTACCTGGAAAAGACACGGCCACAGTCACAAGAATGACCTCTTGTACCACAAGTCTTGAGGTGAGCTTTGTAATCAGACTGAACAGCATAACCTTTGGAGCACTTCTCACAAACCCACTGCTTGTGATTACTATGCTTCCTTCTAAAGTGCTTCTTTATGCCAACAAGATCTCCTAAAGCATGGCAAGGGTCATGGTGTAAGCAGCTTGGTTCTGGGCATACATAAACTCTCTTCTTCACTTCTTGTGTCTCCCTTTTCAGTAGCTTCCACGGTACCTTGTGCCTTCTCCTATGCATTTGCAGGTTCTGGTCTCTTTGAAACCCTTGATTGCAGATCTCACAAACATATCTGTCTGATTCTAGTAAGGTCCTGGGTGATAGAGACACAACCTCTGCATCTGGATCTATTTTTTAAAACAAACAAAGAAAAAAAAGACTGATTAAGTAGATTAGAATAAGAAAGAAAACCTTGAATTAAATTACAAGAAAGAAGAAGAAGAAGAAGTGAAATGAAATGAACACACAAAGGACAGAGAGTTTTGATATGTGGGTTATTCTTGTTTTTTTGTCCTTGGAGTATTACTACCTGGTGTGCCTGCGGGTTTTCTTTTTCTTTTATTGGTGACCCCATTATCTAAGGAATTTGTGAAAGGATCAGAGGAAGGAGATGGAGCAGTCGAAGTGGTGGTGTTGTCTAGCATGGGTGCGGATTTTGTTTGGGATTTGATGACTATATGCTGTTGTTGGTGAAAGGAAACAAATCAATCTTTAGCTGTACAGGCGTTGAAGTTTTTTTGGTGTAGTGGGGTTTTCAGCTTTACTGATGATAAAAGAAAGAAAATGGGTAGAGAGATAGAGAGAGAGAGAAAGTTGAGAGGGAGAACATGGAGAAAGAAAGAAAAGCTCTTTGCTTTCTGAAATCAACTTTCTTTAAGCTTTCTTTTTAGCTTTTTGGTGTAGCCATGAGCTTTCTTGGTTTTGTTGCTGTTGTTATTTCATTGACCTCTCCCCACCTTGAGCAGGTAAAGGTTAGAGGCAAAGTCTTGTATATAAAGCTCCTTCTACAGTTCAATACTACTACAAGATTACAGATGGAGAGAGAGAGAGAGAGAGAAAGAGAAGAAGCTAGATGCTGACCCAATCACCATTGCGTAAAACTTTGAGCCCACACACGCAGCATTTGGACAGAAACAAAAAAACATCCCTCTCCACAACAAAACAAACAGTCATTATTCACATCACACTGTAATTTGCATGAATAAATGCAGGCCAGACCTCTATTACACGTGACCTCACATCATCCTCCTCCTCCTCGCATGACCTTTTCTAAAATCTACTTCTCCACAATTAACTAATGCCTAAAAGCCTCTTTTATTAGTCATCTCCCTTCAACTTTTGATCCATTTAATTCGTTTTTTTTTTTTTGCTAGTAGACGTGCTTGCAAATATTGTTATTGTCTAATTAAATAAAAAAATTTATAATACTCAATAAGTAATTAATGATATATATAATAGATATTTATTGAGTATTATAAAATTTTTCAATTAAAACAATTGAAGTTGATGTTGAAAAATAATAATTATGCAGCAAAAACGTAATTAAAAAATAACTTGGTAAAAAGTAAAAATTAGTAATTTTATTTATTTATTAATCAAGTGGGTATTTTTTTTATGAAAATAGAAGTTTTTTCATATCGATTAATAAATTAGAATAGAAAAGCTATAAACAGTTATCACTGAAATTACAACAAATTATTATTATTTATTATTTATTATTTTTAATTGCATAAAAGAGATTCCAAGTCCATAACAAATTTATAAACATTGAATAATTTTTTAATCCCACGCCATAAACATATCAAAGTCATACTTTTATTTGTTATTCCTTCATTTCTTTCTAATATTCAATGAAAACAAAATAATTCCAAACTACACACGTCAAATTAATTGATCAAATGTTAATTATTTAGCATTATGACTGCCAAAATTTTTATATTCGCCTTTTGATTATGATATTTTTTATGTGTGGCCATATATAGGCACTATTTTGAACTCAAAAAAATAAAAATAATATTTTTTTTTTTACTTTGTGCTTTTAATTTTGATCTTATATTGCTAATACATTTATGTTTTTTAGTTTTGTGAAAAATTTAACATAATTTAATGACGTTGTCATTCAAAAGGGAATATATATATATATAATAGATTTTAATTGAAGTACTTTAACAGAATAAGGTGATGTTTTCATATATATAATCTTAAGGATGTGATCTTAAAAAATAAAAATAAAACTAAATTTAGTTAGATGGAAAATTTAATATGCTTTTAAGGATGTGGTTCATTCGAAAATAAACGATATAACAAAATTCATTTATGTAAAATTTTACTAGAAAGATTAAAAAGTGGAAGGAATAATTTTAACAAAATGTTGATGAAATTTGAATTAAAAAATTAGCCCAAAAAAAAGGTATATGGGCTTGGTCTGGAAGGCCTAGCTAGTTAAAATATAATGATTTTCTTAAAAGTATGTGCATAAATAAATTTTACAATATCAAACCAAAATAGTATAATTTACTTCAATAATAATTGATGAATACTATTAAAGAAAAAGGAAAATGTGGCTCTAAATTCTTATTGCTAATGGGTAGTTTTATAAATTTTAACAATTTATGTATCCGTAATGTCTGTTTTGGTGATTTAAAAAAAATTAATTTAATATTTATATTTTCCATTAATAATAAAATAAATGTAAAATTATATTTTATTGCTGACATTTGCATAAGTTATCATATTCTAAATTTGCAAGAATTGATATGTCCACGCATGTATAGCTTATCCTACTTTTTTTTATATAAAAGTTCAAGACCAGGGTAAAACATTTTCAAAATTAAAGGGAGCAAAATGAACTTTATAAAAGTTTGAAGTCCCAAAAAATAAATTACTATATAAGGACTTTTAATGTTAAGGCAAGGAAAATTTTTGCCAAACAATAGAAAGACCTAAAGTAGACCTACCAAATCTCCAAGCTATTTCTTCTAACCTTGAGTTTAGTTTTTGTTGTAATCTTTTAATTTCCAATTTTGAACGAGACCACTTTTTGGGACAAAGGTTTTTTTTTTTTTTTTTTTCTGAAATCAAGTTTTTTTTGTCGTTTCATGTCAGATTCTATTGATATACAAATAAATATTTGCATGTACAAGACATTACGGTTATATAATTTAATTTAGACCGTTAATTTTGTCCTTAAATCTACTTGGATTTTTATCAGAAAAAGGACATAAAATTAAGCAAAAAATAATAATAATAAGAAGGAAAAAAAAAGAAAAGAAAAGAGAGAGATTAGCTAAATTTATGTATTTTAATTACCGTACATCAACATCGAAATCATCCCAAAATGAAAAATCTTAAATCGATGAGTTGATTATTATTAAACTAGGACCCTTCACCACTAAATTTGTGATATTTCTTTATTTAAAGTTTGGATCTAAATTTTAAAATTTATTGTTTAAAAATGTTTCTGAGAAAGCTGATTGATCACTAGCTATATCTTTGCTTGTTTCCGATTTATTCATTTTAGTGTGTACTAAATTGGAGGTTATTATGTTCTTAGTATTGAATTTAGTTGATCCCTTATGTCGAACTAACGCAAACCAGTAACCGACATGCATCAACTCTCTCTCGATCCATGTTGATCTGATCTGAAATAGTTACTATTGCTTTACTATTCATCTCCTGTGGATACGCCCCATGAACATTGTGTTTTGTAACTCAACTGCACTGTATTAATTTATTTTTTCATTTCATCTTGGCCTTCCATGCTGCCGCCCTTGATTGCTATCCATGTTGTTGCCTTTCTCGGGGATAAGCATCTTGCACCTGCACCTTCTTTTATTTTTTTCTTTTTGCCAAAATTGGAGGTAATATAATTTCTTTTTTGTCATTTTCTACTTCTGTTTAGTTACATTTTCCTCACCTGCTCAGTCTCTTTTGTTGGTAACTTATCAAACCTCTTTCGTCCTTTTGCTCTTTCCTTTCATTGAACATTTCATGCTCACATAAATTATAATTATTATAAAACAAACTAAAGATTTAGAATATTTATTATAATATTAACAAACTTACAAAATATTATTTATTTACTGTTTATGTAGAATCATGTGAACTATATAGTGATATTTTTGTGATTTTAAGATTTAGTTGAGACATTTATATTTGAATTTTTTCGATATTGCACTTTAGTCGTTGATATTTATAAAAATTATATTTTAATTTTTAAGTTTATTTACGTCGTAATTTGCTCTCTAAATGCAAAAAGAGAGGAAAAAAATCCACAATTGGTTCTAATTTCGACTTCTTTTGTGGCCTATCTTGCATTTATATTATTTATCTTGGTGAGAAGAGTATGTTTATGGTAGTTTTAAATCTTAAAATAATTGAAAGAGAGAGATCATAATCTAAAAAATAATAATTTTTTTTATTTGATATGTGTGTGTACACACACGTGCGTTAATACTTTTTTTTTCTTTTGTGTTTTATCAATTTTTTTAATTTCTTATTATTGAATAGAGTGCAAAAATTATAGAAAATCAATCATTACTTTTTTTATTTTTTACATAGACTAACGATGATAAAATTATATATGATATATTTTCAGAATTTAAAATGAACATATATATAGGTTTATATTACTCTTATTACTTAAAATTGATTTTTTTTTCTTTCTTATGAAAATTCTCATAAAATTAATTTTTTATTTTTTATATAATTTTATTTGTTAATAAATATGATTTACTTTTCTATATATATGGATTTTTGAATAAAATTATAGAATATATATATATATATATATATATATATCATATGATGGATTTTTATGGTTTTTAAATAAGAGTCTTAAAAAGCTAAAAGTATATTTTAGATAAATTGTCTCGGATCTTTTTAAAAAATCCATTAAAAATAAAATTCACATGTTTTATTTGCTTTTTTAATAATTAAAATTTATCAAAATTAATTTTTTTTATTTCAGTATATTAACTTTAATATATTCCTTGCAATTTATTTATTTATTTATTATTTTTAGTTATGATGCATACTCCGAACCCATTAAGTATGTTCAGGTGATATAAGTAGTTCGGTGATATATATATATATATATATATATATATATTAACTATGCATCTATACACATTATACCAACCATTTATTATTAATTTTAATGTAATAATCAAAATCAATTTCTTTGAGATAAAATAATTAAAATAATATTTTAGAAAAACCATCCATTGATTCAAATAAAACTTTTTGTACTCATTTATTGATTATTTTGTGAATAAGTATATATAAATTACAAGTACATATTTTTAAAAAATAATCTTCTCATCACAATTAAATAAAAATGAAAAAATATTTATTTGTTAATTTTAGACTCGTTTATATATTAATTGTTGCTTTATTTTTTGTATACAATCTTATACAAAAATATTAAGACCTTTTTAAAAAAATGGATTAAATATTCCATTTGGATTATTGCAAGTTTTTATTGAAAAATCAATAAATAACAAATAACAAATCGTATTTTTTAACTATAAAATTTATGAAAAACATAAGAGATAATAAATTATAAAATTAGATTTTTTTTTTTTTTTTTTGCCTTTAATTCAATATATTTTAGTAGACCTTCAATATAGTACAAATTATCAAA